TGATGTGCAATTCCAACCTCCCTAATTCCCTCTCTAAGGTCCATGTTTAGCACTAAGTCCAACTCGACACCAGTGATCTCAGTGGACTTTCCTAGCATTATCTCACCTTTCATGGCCTAAATCTTGCTAAAGTTTAATGCTTTCTTTACATTTCTAATCAATTTACATTTCAAGTCATATAGCTCGGCCCATCAGCCTAGATTTTACTTTTGTAGACATTTGTAATCTTGACTCCATCTTGAAATGATTACATTTTGTTTTCATTTTAGTTTCTATTTCGCTTTCATTTACTTTTTAGGCAAGCATACATAAAGAGTCCTCGTTCGCTTGAGGCATAGAAAAAACTTAATCAAACAAGCATCCCACTCTATGCACATTCATTTGGTTAAGAAGTCAGATTTACATGCAACTTTCACACCCACTCAAACACAACACTGTTTGTTGGTAGCCTCCAACAGTGGAACACCTATTCTCTCTTTCTCTCGAGCCAGCCATCTCATGGCACTAAGACCGAAACCAACAACTCGGAGAAATACATGTTGAACCTAGTCCAAACTTTGAACGAGTTTTGGCACCAACAATAGCAATAACCTTGGTATTTATAGAACCTTGTTGAATCAATACTATGTTTTAAGTGGCCTCTTTAGAAGTTCCCTTAATGTTAACGTTACAAAAAGTTTGAAATGTTTTTATTCACTTTAAATCTTACTTCATAATTAAAGTGTAAGTTGGTCGGAAATTGTTTGACAAAATATACGTATATATAGGAAATGTAAGGATCAACGAATTAAAAAAATCCAATAACTAGTCTTGATCACTCGCAAAGATACAGAGTACTAGTACTAGCTCTGCTGATGCACAAAATCAGCGAGGACTTTGGTACAACAGAAAGTGTTAAGTTTGTAACCTTCGCTAGATTGCTCCGGTCACTAGTGTGGATAAGTAAGTAAATGGATAGGGACAGGGAAGCAAACACAAGATGTACGTGGTTCACCCAGATTGGCTACGTCCACGGAGTAGAGGAGTTCTCATTAATTGTGAAGGGTTTTACACGAGTACATAGGTTCAAGCTCTCCTTTAGTGAGTTCTAGTGAATGATTTAGTACAAATGACATTAGGAAATATTGTGAGAGAATGATCTCTATTTATAGAAGAGAGTTTCTAGTTTCATTGACATTGACACGTGTCGTGCTATGATTGGCTTCTGATGTCAATACGTGTCGTGCTATGATTGGCCTCCTGGTTAGAAGGAAACTCTTCTGGATCCTTGACAGTATAACGTTGACCGGTGCTCAATAGTTTCGGGATTGGTCAAGTATAGTACAAACAAGCTCCATTGCCATGTAGCCACTCTGTTTTCACTTGCATCGCAAACTTTTGAGTGTCTTGGATGACAAATCAAATGCAATGGTGCAGTCCATGGTGGAAGACTTCTTCTTCTTCATTATAAACATCAATTCAACTTTTCCCGTCAACTTAGCCGCGCTGTTCAGAGTCAACACCCCGCTGCTCAATTCACTACCAAGGTCGGTACCGCTCAATGCACTTGAACTCAAGTTCACCTCGACATTGATTTTTTTGGTGGAAAGCATTCCAGCCTTGCTCTTGGGAATAGAAACTTACCCAACAGTCGCCCTTGGTACAAAACTTGTATGGACCAAAATTTGTGTTTTTGACTCTAATTTGTGTTGTGAATTTAGTGTCGAATGAAGGCGTTGCTGGGACGGAGTTGAGGTCTTGCACGTTGATGTTGCCTAGCTGGACCTTTGGGGTTTTAACTTTCATGACAGTGAGACTCATCGCAGTTATGACCATGATCTAAAACACAATGAATATGCCTATATAAATGGCCAATTTGATTCTCTTCTTGCGTTTCATCTCATCAGTGGATTCCAAAGACTCTGCATCGCTTCATGTGTAACCATTTGCTGGTGCCAAAGGATAAACCTATTGGTTCTTCTCGGCCATGTTCTTCTCTTGTGATACAATGGAAAAGAAAATTCTCTTAATTTGAGATGTATTTTTGCAACGATGAAACTTGGAAGTGGAGGGAGTTGTTTGTGGAGGTAATGGAAAAGTAGGGTGCTATATATAGTGTTTGGAGTTTGTCTAGGAATTAATTTAATGCCAACGCCCAACGCGCCCTTTGCCGAAGGTGGAATTATTGACTTCAAGTTCTAGATGGTCGATGCTTTTTGTGAAAACGACAGGTGAGGGATAATATTAAGGTAAACTTTCTTGATCACTTTCCTAACATCGTTGGCAAATTATTGTTTATAAACTTGATTTTTATTATTTATTCCCACATGACAAACGAAATATTTCTAAGGTAATTTTCACTCTCATTTTCTTTCTTGCATGAATCCTCTTGTTTTAGAACAATACTTGGATACTTATAGATGAGTAGGAACTTCTACTCAAAACTAGTGTTTTAATCATAAAGTTTTGTGTTTATAATTAGATCTGTTCATATTATGAATCACATTGTAAAGATTATCTTTGCAAAAAATAAATTAAAACTAAGGTCGTTTAGTCAATCTATTGTAGCAAATACATAGACGGTTCGTAGTGCTTTTACCAATACCATTTATTATTTTTAAACAATTTGATGACTAAACGATCTTAGTTTTAGTTGATTTTTTGCAAATGCGATCTTTATAGGGTGATTTATAATATGAACGGTTCTGATTATAAACACGAAGTTCTATAAATTTACAATGAACAATTTTGAGAAATTTTGAGTAGGAATTTCTACTCATGTTTGAGTAGCCAAGTATTGTTCCTTGTTTTATTCATGAATATTTTATTAATTTATTCAATCATAAGGTTAAAAAACAATCGAGCAAATCCAAGGGCTTAAGATAATTTAATTTTCAAGCTTTTATTTTGTTCAACATGTGATTGAAATGATGAATATAAAATGTGTAAATTCTAACGGTAATGGAGATACCAATCCATCAACATATACATATAATTTTTTTTTTAAATGATAGACGCACTTATTTCAACATCTCACACATATCCATGTTTTATCTTGTTTGTTGCTTTTGTGTTACTTAGGGCTGGTTTGGTATTGCTGTGCTTTGAAAAAAAATTGCTGTGAGAATAAGCGGCTGTTAAATAAATCAACAGAGTGTTTGGTAAACTTTTTTGTAAAAGTGCTTTTGGAAAAAAAAAAACAGTCTGATAGTGAGTCTTTTCATTAAATGGGCAATGTAGCTCCGTGTGCTTTGAAAAAAAACCAGTTTTCCAAAGCTACAAATAGCAGCTTCAGCTTTTTCCTTTGATTTCAGCTTATTCTCACAGCAGCTTCCAAAATAAGCCTTTTTTTTTCAGTTTACCAAACACCTAAAACCCTCACAGTTTTTTTTCATGGGTGCTTTTTTTTTAAGCACCTCACTCCCAAACCACCCCTTAATCAATTAGACAAAGAGAGGCTAAAATAGGTGTATGATCGAAAATCATCTCCCATTTTAATATTCTAAGGGGAAATGTGATGGTGGCACAGGAACTTTGCCTGGAACACAAACAATTGGATCTCCAGGTCTTACAGAAAAATGCACCTCATAAAAGACTTCTTCATACAACCCTCTAGATTGAATATAAGTCAAAAACTCTGCACTAGGCCCATATGTGGAGGAAGATTCTCTCTCCTCCTATTACTATCTCCTCCTCTCATTCTTCTTTTTGTTTTATTCTATATATAAAAAATTCAAGATAAGATGTACATGTGACATAATCGCAACTATTTAAATAAGAGGGGATTGAAGGAGAGAAAGATTAGAAGGGAAGAAAATCTTACTCCTTTGGTTACATGCAAGCATTTCGTTCATCACCAGTCATCATATTTCTCTCAGCTCAGTGAAAAGTATGAATTGCATGTACATAGGGTCTTTGAATGTTTCTTACTTTGTTTGAAAATTTCAGTTCTTAGCTTTTAAGGGAAAAGGAACTTGCTAAGCTTGCAGATGATGCACCTGCTAACAAAAAGAATGAGTATGATAAGTGGATTAAGGCAAATAGGAAGACAATGTTGGTGATCAAGAGGTCAATGTCTGACCTCCGTCGAAGATCCTTCCTTGGTTCACCTTGCCCCAAACTCTCTACCAGTACTCTTGCTGAAGAGCACTTACAATGCTCAAAAAGATGGAATTTGAATGAATTAATTGCAATCTGTGTGCACGAGGGCAAAACATTCAGTAAGAAAGGAACAAGAAGCAAGGGGCTATTTGGGTGCTTTTGAAATGGTAAAGTTTTTAAAATACCTAAAATTGTCCTTCTCTAATTAAGATTTTAAAGGAAAACAATTAAATTGAAATGGGTAAAATAAAATTTAACTTCCATGATGATAATTTTTTTTTTAGTACATCGATATTTTTACACCAAGGGGATGGAGAGTTCGGCTAAGCCACACAATGGGCAACCTAATTAAAGAGTCCATGATGATAATTAAAGAGTCCCCACGTTTTTGGGGTGGTAACTTTTATTAATTTTCATTCAAATTTTAAAAATTAATTGAAAAAAATACAAAAATACAAAACGTTACACATACGTAGTGTGTGCAAGGGGCTAGTTGGGATAAAACCTCCACACCAGATGGGCAAGCATACTGTTTAGGATTTTAGGGTTAAAGAAATATAATCTGTGGTTCCACTCACCTTCTAAACTTAATCTGGACCGTCTTTGATGACATTTCAAACGTGACAGTGCATCACTATCAAAATTCTATTAAAATTGTGTGATGGACTCATTGATGATAAGTAGGCCAGGTATTCTATTAATTATGCAATTACTAAATATGTTAGAGAAAAGAAGCACCTATTCTGTATTCAATCGTATGGAAAAAGGAAAAAGAAATAACAGATCAGGCCCGGGGCCTCATTGGTTTGAAATAGTAGAGAAATCTATTTATATATAGTTCTGCAGCAAAATACAAGTCACAAGAGAACGAATGAAAAAATTAACAAATCAAGTACAAGTATTGATCTGCAGGTCATTAATCACTTGCATTGCAAACTTTTGAGCGTCTTCGATGACAAATCAAATGCCATGGTGCAGTCCATGGTGGAAGACTTCTTCTTCTTCATTATAAACATCAATTCAACTTTTCCCGTCAACTTAGCCGCGCTGTTGAGAGTCAACACCCCGTTGCTCATTTCACTGCCAAGGTTTGTACCGCTCAATGCACTTGAACTCAAGCTCACCTCGACATTGATTTTTTTGGTGGAAAGCATTCCAGCCTTGCTCTTGGGAATAGAAACTTGCCCGACAGTCGCACCTTGGTACAAAAACGTGACAATGCCTGCATCATACTTGTATGGACCAAAATTTGTGTTTTTGACTCTGATTTGTGCTGTGAATTTAGTGTTGAATGAAGGTGTTGCTGGGACGGAGTTGAGGTCTTGCACATTGATGTTGCCTAGCCGGACCTTTGGGGTTTTAACTTTCATAATAGTGAGACTTATCGCGGTTATAACCATGATCTGAAACACAATGAAAATACCAATATAAATGGCCAGTTTGATTCTCTTCTTGCGTTTCATCTCATTAGCGGATTCCAAAGACTCGGCATCACTTCTTGTGTAACCATTTGCTGGTGCCAAAGGATAAACCTGTTGGTTCTTCTCGGCCATGTTCTTCTCTTTGTGATACAAGTGAAAGAAATTTCTCTTAATTTGTGATGTATTTTTGCAACGATGAAACTTGGAAGTGGAGGGAGTTGTTTGTGGAGATGATGGAAAAGTAGGGTGCTATATATAATGTTTGGAGTTTGTCTAGGAATTAATTTATTGCAGATGCCAAACGCGTTCTTTGCCGAAGGTGGAATTATTGACTTCCTAGTTCTAGATGGTCGATGACTTTTTGTGAAGTAATCACTTAACGAGTAACGACAGTTGAAGGATATATATTAAGGTACTCTATTGTTTATAAACTTTGATTTTAATTCTTTTTACTTTATTTTATTCTTTTTTTAGTCCCGCATGACAATGATATTCTCTTATGGTGCATAATATCTCCTTTGTAAATTTCTTCGAGTAATATTCCCTTTGGTGCATGATATTTTCTGCTGTAATTTCTCTAGTGGTGATTTAATTTCAGGCATGCTCAGATATTTTTGCGATATCTAGTGGTTTAATTTCTGCTGTAATTTCTCTAGTGGTTTTTTTTTTCAATTCATCACAGATTTGAAGCACTTTGTTGCGATATACTTGTAGATATCGAAATTTTGGTAAATAAATGTTGACCGATAAATCAATGTTTCAGCGCTCATGTATTACATAAATTTTACACGTAGCATGTGTCTAAACAAAAAATCGAGAATCATCGGAAAAGTCATCAAACAGGACACGTGTCAACACCTGGCAGAAACGGCTTATTTCATCTAGAATATTATATTCAAAATTAGGCCTTGGAAAATTCTATAAATAGAAGCCAATTTCATTCATTTGGGGAGGAATTCATATTACACCTTGAAGCTCTGAAGCTCTGAAACTCCGAAGCTCTCAAGCAAATTCCGAAGAATCAAGAAAGCTCTCTTCGTTCTTCGTTCTTCGTTCATGCTAAGATCAAGCCCCAACGGCCATTTGGATCAACAATCATCTACCAATTCAAGATCAAGCCCCGACGGCCCTTGAAGAAAGTGTTCTTCGTTCTTCATTCATCATCGTTCATCCTAAGATCTAGCCCCAACGACCCTTTAGATCAACAATCATCCACCAATTCAAGATCAAGCCCCGACGGCCCTTGAAGAAAGTGTTCTTCATTCTTCGTTCATCCGTTCATCCTAAGATCAAGCCCCAACGGCCCTTTGGATCAACAAACGTCGACACATCCACACATCCAAACCGTTCTTCAAGATTAAGCCCAAAAGCCCTTGAAGATCCGCTAATCACTATTCTTCAAGATCAAGCCCAAAAGCCCTTGAAGACCCGTTCATCACCGTTATTCAAGATCAAGCCTTAACGGCCTTTGAAGAAACACTCATCCTCAACATCAAGCCCCAACGGCTCCTTGAAGATCCGCTCAAATCCACCTTCAAAGATCAAAGCCCACGGCCCCTTGAAGAAACTTCCAACAATCCACCAATTCAAGATCAAGCCTCGACGGCCCTTGGATCAACGAAACATCCACAAATCAACGCCTTACGGAGATCGAATCAGAGGATCAAAATTGAGAGAGATTGTAACCCAAAATCATCAAATACAAATATTTGTTTGTGCACGTCGTTCTTGTCTCTTTCGTTTCAGGAATTTTCCGTGTTTACAAATTGGCACGCCCAGTAGGACAATCTCTGCCTCTCATCTCTTTCTCCGTTCAAGAAATTCAAGCGGACCTCCAAAATTAATGGCATCAAGGAAGGCTCAAACTGTTCCCGCAACCGGCACAAAGAACAAGAGCATCCTCGTCGCAACTGGTGTCACTTTGGGCATCACGACTCGAAGCATGGCAAGAGCTACTTCTGCCACCTCTTTCACCTCTGCATCAACTCTGCCAAGGGAACAAGAGCACCCAAGGCACGAGCCTTTGATCACCTTAGCCTCACTAAGGGCACCAAGGGGGGAAAGCCCAAGGAAATACTCCGAATCCATGCTCTCCAATGCCGATTCAAGCGGCAGTTCAGCCATGCAAGTCATGACCATTGGAGCAACTTCAATCGATGAGCAGCTGGCTCAAATGAATGAAGCAATCACAAGGCTAACCCGAACTGTGGAAGAAAAAGACTTGCAAATTGCAGCACTAGTCAACCGACTGGAGGCGCAGGACGGCGAGAAACCCGACCCAGAGGATGATCCACTAAAGAGAAGAGATGACGAAGAAGATGAGCCTCAGGCGGAGAAAAACGATGTAAAGCCGGAGCCAGACCAAGTAGCAACACTCATGAGATCTCTTTCTATCCAACAGCTGCAAGAGATGATCACCAACACCATCAAGGCACAGTACGAAGGGAGCTCAAATACCTCCGGGTTGTACTTGAAGCCGTATTCAAAGAAGATCGACGCCTCAAGGATGCCGAAGGGTTATCAACCGCCAAAGTTCATTCAATTTGATGGAAAGGGAAACCCGAAACAGCACGTTGCCCACTTTGTTAAAACTTGCAACAACGCAGGGACCGAAGGGGACTACCTTGCCAAGCAGTTTGTGCGCTCGCTGAAAGGAAACGCCTTTGAGTGGTACACGGACCTAGAGCCTGAGTCCATCAACAGCTGGGAGCAATTAGAGCGGGAATTCCTCAACCGCTTCTACAGCACTCGCCGCACTGTGAGCATGCTAGAGTTAACAAGCACAAAGCAGTGGAAGGACGAGCCAGTCATTGACTACATCAACAGATGGCGCACTCTAAGCCTCGACTGTAAAGATAGGCTCTCGGAAACCTCTTCAATCGAGATGTGCATCCAAGGCATGCAATGGGGTTTGCAATACATCCTTCAAGGCATTAAACCACGGACCTTCGAGGAATTGGCCACTCGCGCCCATGACATGGAGTTGAGCATCGCCCATCATGGGAAGAAAGAACCGATCGCCGACTACAAGAACGACAAAGTTCTTGGGAAAAAGGTGGAAAAGGCTGCGTGGAAACCCACCAAGGAAGCAATGACGGTCAACGCATCTCCCGTCAAAATCTCCACACAAGGCAAGGTGATTCAAACTGAAGCTTTTCGTGATCAAGAGATGCGTAGACGCACTTTGAAGGAGCTTGAGGAGAAGACTTATCCATTCCCCAACTCTGATGTGATTGCCATGCTGGATGACCTGTTGGAAAAGAAGGTGATCGATTTGCCTAAGTGCAGACGGCTGGAAGAGATAAATCGTACCGACAGTCCAAGATACTGTAAATTCCACCGCTTCATCAGCCATCCAAGAGAAAAGTGCTTCGTACTGAAAGATCTCATCCTGAAGCTAGCACAACAAGGGAAAATTGAGCTTGACCTCGAAGACACGGTTGCGGCACACACTACTACTATTGTGTTTGGATCACTTGATCATGTGCCTCTCCGAAGCATGCATGACCATTCCCGTCAATGTTTAAGTCACAAGACACCTCCTACACAACCATCACTGGGGGCAAGCAACCAAGATGCAGCTATTGGTGATAAGAAAGGGTGGACATCGGTGACCTACAAAAAAACGAGAAGCCAAGACCACAAGCCACAAGGCCAAAAGAGGAGCCTAAACCCGCCCCTCGAACTTCAGTCTTCGAAAGGCTGAATTATTCAAAACCTAGAATTTCGGCACTTGATGGCATCAGTGGTCGAGACCAAATTTCCGTCTTCAAAAGGCTTGAGACGCCAACACCGCAAAGATCTGTCTTTGAAAGGTTATCAAAACCCAAGAAACAAAACGGCATAGCTAGATTTCCTCCACAACGGTCGGCTTTGGACAGACTTGAAGAAACTAAGAAGCCTTCTAGAAACAGGAAGACAACGCCAAAGGGAAAAAAGCTCGACAGTCTAGCAAGAAAAGACGATGTTCAAAGCTTGATTCCTTCAAGGATGAAGCGCCAAGCAACTTTGGAAGTCGACACAAAAGGACCACTGAAGGTAAGGAGGCGCACCATCATCTACACTGGCCAACCTTCACGGCAACAAACCCAAGAGGACCGCACTGAAGAGGAGGCCCAAGAAGACAAAGAAGACGAAATCCTGGAAGAAGGCGTCACTTCCGGCTCTGTCAACTCAAAATCTTCACCTCAATCGCTGGGGGCATGCTCCAAAAACATGCCAGTCAAGCCGAGTGAAGTTGAAGGATGGACTTATGTCACTCCGAAGAAATTGCACAAGAAGCATATGTCTTCTCCACGAGCTCACCAATGGGAAAGGGGGCAAAACAGCTCCTGTTCACCTCCAGAACAATGTGAAAGTGTTGGAGATAATGAAACTTTGACACGAAGATCATCCATCCCCATCACGATGCGTGACATCTTCCCAGAAGACTTCTTCAACTACCCAGTCAAATGCTCCTTGTTCGCACGAGCCTAAACTGCACGAACCAAAGCTCCTTGTCTGCACGAGCATAAAAGGCGACACCAAGGCTCCTTGCCTACACGAGCCTAAACTGCATGGCACTAAGCTCCTGATCTGCACGAGCATAAAAGGCAACACCAACGCTCCTTGCCTGCACAAGCTGAAACTGCAACACGGCACCAAATGCTCCTTGTCTGCACGAGTTGAAACTGCAAACGACACCAACACTCCTTGCCTGCATAAGTTAAAACTGCAAACGGCACAAAAAGAAAATACAAAAAAATATGTATGTATTTGAACTACGTTACGACTTGATCTCTTCTTTGGAGGGGTACGTAGGCAGCTCGAATATTCAAAATTTGAGTTCAGTCACACCAAAATAAGGAATAAAGATTTTATTAAAAGTTTTAATGCTATTACAATTTCTTTGTACCAAAAAAAAAAGAAAGAAAGGGAGATATATGTTTTATGTATTTACAAAAAAAAAAGAAGAAAAGAAAAAAAAATACATATGTTATTATGTATTTACAACAAAAAAAAAGAAAAAAAAGAAAAAAAAAAGATACAATTTCTTCAAAAAAAAAAAAAAAAAGGGAAACATATATATATACGTCTCGGCCCAACACCATGCAGTCACCAATCTGCGAGCCCATCTACACACAGGTCTTAGC